ACCTATCTTAGCACAAGCGAACTGTATACGAACTTATGCAGGCTCTGAAACTACTAAGGTCTCGTCTAAGGAATGCGAACAGATTCTTCTGAGGAAAAGCCGACGAATGGAAGAGCGGAGAAGATAAAAGACTCTGTGTTTACAGCCTGTCATGTGACTATCAAAGACCGGCTTGCTGATGATCAATTTTTTCATGATATTTATGCTGAGTACACTGTTTTTTTTATTATTTTTTATTCCAGGAAGTATTTTTTGCTTTACGCCTTTTGATAGTATGACTTTTAACTTTATTAAGGTTCAATATAGTCCAATTCTTCTCAGTTCTTCGACTACAACACTCATTGTTGTCACTTCATCGTTTTATGATATATTCAAGCAGAACCCCGAGTTCACGCAGCTATGCGTCTAGTTTACTTATAATACGTTATATGTCATGTGTCAACTCTTGAAAAATATCAAGGAGATCGCTTTGTTAAAACTAGTCAGAGGCAAATATGAACTTTTGTGGACGTAAACTAAACTTTTGTTAACTTGCTTGAGACAAGACTGACAAGTGAGAAGAGAAAACGAAAGCAAATCAGCAAGCTAGACATTGATATACAAGGAAATTTTCTCCGTCTATGATTTATAGGGTTTTTTTCTTTTATGTAATATGTGCTTTTTGGCTGATGTTTTTCTTCAAGAGAATTACGTTTTTGACATCCAAAATGAACATAAAAGCATGGGAAAATCAGCCAAAACTTAAAAGAACAGACTGATTTGTCTTGTTCGTGTTTAGTTCAGGTCGTTTTATACCAAGTTTTGATCGCTTTCTGCAAAATTAAAACTAATCTTCGTGCAATACAGAAAGACAGAACTTCAGAAAGACAAGAGATGTACCTGTAGGAAAGCAAAAAATCAGCTTAAACGAAGAAGGAAATTGCAGCGCGGTATCTCACATACCGATCAAGAAGTAGGTTCTTTCTCAACGGAAAACTTTTATTTGTTGTCTTGATCTATACTTACTATGAAATCTCATTAAAACTTATATGTTCTTGCAGCTCCAATATTTATCAAGTTTGGTCTTTGCATTTTTATCTAAGTTTACATAACTTAAGCTCATATTGAGGAATAGTTAACAAGCTCATTAAAAAGTATGACGAATGAAAGTCTCGTKATATATTATATGTARTAAACAGATTATAGCATGGAAGTGGGTTGGAATTGAATTTTATTCACTCGTTGTTCGCATCAAACTCACTCACTCCTTCCTCGCTCGTTCGTAGTATAATGCMAACAATAATATCCCGTACGTCGCACTTTCCATGAAATAAACTTTACTTATAAAAGTTTCAACTTAAATCAAGGGACAGGTTAAAATAAGGTAAATTTAAGTATCAACGCGATAAAAATTTTCCGCTTGGAAAATTCCTTTTTGGTTTCTGGGCACAAATTGCTGKTCTCGGTCGCTACCTCGCAACTGCAAAAGGACACCGTCAATTTCGTTTTTAAAAATGATCAACTTTTTAAGACTTGATAACTTACCATGGATTCCATTCTGAGTATAAAAACAGCCCAAAACATGCATCCACACCAACCAAACATCAAATGCAATCTCATTTTAAGAACTGCAGGTATTACTATAGAGGAAGTCAGTGTCCACTCATGTGAACAAAGCGGACCTTCTTCCCGTTATCATCTAACTTACTTTCAGCTGGTTTCAAAGTCTTGAATGACTTGACGTAATCGATGAGCAGGTCGAATGATGATTGGCTTATTATTTTTAGAAGTGCTCGACTTCCTTCTCTTGTCCTGTTTTGTTCGTGGATTTCTAATTGAGGGACGTTTTCGTTGAGCAAATAACTTTAGCAAACTATCCAAACTTTTTAAAGATCGATTGGTAATCATATTCACCGTCCATCTAAAGTGATACCTGTTTTGTTTAGTTTGTAAGCGTTAATTAAAGTTTTGAAAGTTTGCTATGAAACCGAATAGCAAGAAAAGAGTGTTTTAATGCACATGTATGTTTACCAAGCTAATGTTTTATTCTCAGTAGTAAATTCAATTTTTGTATGTAAACTAATTTTTTTTCTGTACTGAAA